CGGTCAATATTAGGTAGTTTTTTACTAAGTAACATTTTGAACAGCTACACTCAAATGACAATAAGCCAGGATCAGTTACAAAAAATCGCCATACATTTTGCAACAGCGCCAATGAAATCAAATTTTCAGAGTAGAATGATCTATATTTTACCTATCAACTAATCCAAAGAGCAACCCTTTATATCGAGTAGTTTTTTGATTAATTCGTTTTTAAGCACACGCAGCCAAAAACCGAAGTTCAAGCGACAACTGAAAAAGCCACAAAGTTATAACGAAAAACGCCGTATTTTAAAGTCTGAAGACCCAAATGGCTTAATTGCGCCCGTTGAAATATACAACCAATTGTATTTGCCCCAACCGCACTAATTCGAATTGCGGTTTTTCCCCAACATAAGGGAAACATTTAAATTAAGAAACTTGGAAAACGCGCTCTGTAAATTAATTATGACGAAGCCCTATTGCGAAAAGCCGCTGAGGGGAGATAAATTAGATTTTTTGCCACAAGGTTTCACCTAAAGTATTTACGAACATCGGGATTGCTTAAATGTAGAGGAATTAGTTGTTTAGTTTAGCATCAGCGACAAAGAGAATTCCCGACAATGTTTATATACAGCGTGATCCTTTACGGGGTGAAATGCTTACCTACATCTTCAAATAACTAAAGCAAATGCCTATAAAGAGCAACTTGTACTTCCAGAGGAGGATTACGATGCTTTTTGCCTCGCCTATATGTTCACTTACCGCGATTTCGAAATGGGAACGTTGGGCCTGGCCTGGACTGGAGACCTCAAAAATGCGGGAGGCGTTTGCGAAAAAAACGGAGTAAGTGCTAAAAAAACCTCAAAAAAAACTCAAGTGGAGGAATTATTTTCCAGCACTATCGAGGAAGTATGAAGTCGCTAAACACCGGAATCGTCACCCTGCTAAACTATGGCAAGCACGTGCCTCCTGCGGTCAGTCATGTGACTTTAGCCCATGAGATTGGCCACAATTTTGGATCACCAGTAAGTGAAAAAAAAACGTTTTTTTGCTAACAAGTTGGTGCGAAATCAATCATTTATATAGAAGCGTGTTCTTTATTTTTAGCACGATCCAGAACAATGCACGCCCGGAGGAGAAGACGGCAATTTCATAATGTTCGCAAGGGCAACGTCTGGAGACAAGAAAAACAATAACAAATTCTCGCCTTGCAGTCTCAAGAGCATCAACCCCGTTTTAAACTACAAAGCGCGAAGCTCCAAAGGCTGCTTCACAGGTAAATTGCCATATTTTCAGGATTGAATAAATGGGACTTTGGAGTGAATGAATGGAAGTTTGACTAATGGATCCTTCAAGGAAATTTTTGGGGATTCGGTATGGGCATTGGTAGGAAAATAGAAGCTCTTCAAAAATTGCTGTGGTATCGGTCAAGAAATTACCTGCCAACTTAAAGAAAAAAATCTCCTTTCGCCCAAAATTGGCCCAACAGTTGAACTGAAACCTCTTTACTTGCGTTACCATTTAGAACCCAAGGCGGCAATTTGCGGAAACGGCGTCGTTGAAGAAGGAGAAGAATGCGACTGCGGCTGGGAGGAAGACTGCAGAGATCAGTGCTGCTTCCCTATGCGAAGATACGCCCCTCCAGACGAGCCTCCTTGCCGCCTGACGCCCCGCAGCAGCTGCAGCCCCTCACAGGTACTCTTGGAACTTTCCACACCCTACTCCATGTGTAATCCTCAACCAATCAGGGCCCCTGCTGCACCGCCGACTGCCAAGTGAAGTTCGGCGACAAATGCCGCGAAGACAACGGCTGTCGGGACGAGAGTTTCTGCAATGGACGCCATCCTCAGTGCCCGCCCTCAATCAACAAACCCAACAAGACCATTTGCAACAAGGAGTTTGTCTGCTTCATGGGGGTAAGTTCGATTACAACGTATTGATATACGAGGAGAAAATTTGATTGTCTCGCTGTGCAGGAATGTACTGGCTCGATTTGTCTGGCGTATGGCTTGGAGTCCTGCCAGTGCATCCCAGCCAAAGGCGACCCGAAGACCAAAGCCTGCGAGTTGTGCTGCAAACTCCCAGGGGATCATCAGCCCTGTGTTTCCAGCTTCGAATGGAACGATATGCCTTATGATATTCCTGATATGTATTCCAAACCCGGTTCGTTGGATTAGCAGGACATAGTAGGGCTTAGCTGATGGCCTGCTGCTGTTGCAGGAACCCCTTGCAACGACTACTCCGGATATTGCGACGTGTTCCAGATGTGCCGCGAAGTGGATCCTTCTGGACCGCTGGCCACGCTTCGGAAGCTCCTGCTGAGCGAGGAAAGCATAGCCAGCTTCAAAAAGTGGATTTTCGAGTACTGGTACATTGTGGGCGCGATTCTGAGCGCCATTGTGACCCTTTTGGTAAGCTGCAGCCCCATTTTCCAGTCGATTTTAATGTTTGGTTTCCGCCAGGGAAAGTTCTTAATAGTGGGTGTAAGAGGTTGCGAGAATCGTAAGTCGTTTTTCTCCGGCTACCAGTAATGGCTAGAGTTGAGGTTGATAGTGAAAAAAATTGTATCCAGCCAGAGTTAGTTTTAGACCAACGGCAATTTCTCGGGGCTTTTTCTAAACCCAAGCGAATTCCTGCAGGTTCTCAGCACCAAATACCTGGGCAAACGGCCGAGCCTCAAGCTGACCTCAGTGACAATAATGCATAATCAAACAACCGAGGCGGTTCGCCTGCCGGACGGTCAGGACGGTTTCATCGTCCATCAGGGGATTCGTTCGAAAGTCCCTCTGAAAAAGCGCGTGCGGAATGGCAGGATAAAGAAGCGGCGGAAGCACGGCAAACCCAACAGCAAAGAGAACCACTTGAAATCAGGTTCCAAGGAACCCAAGCCGGATGAGGGCGCTGCGCCCAACAACAGCGCCCACAGCTCGAAGAAAAACTCGCCGAAGAAAAAGAAGAGGATCAGTGCTGCCATTGGTGCGGAGGAGAGTGGCCGGAAGAAGGATATTTTGGAAATACCTCACAGGTAAATCCTTATCATCATGTTCCGTGTTCAAGGGCGGATCTAGCTTTAAATTCAGAAGAAAAATGATTGTCGTGTTGTGCAAGGGTGGCGTAAGATTATTGCAAAATTTCATGTTTTCCGTCCCGTTTTGCATGTTTCTCGGAAGCAAAATGAGCAAGAACGCTCGTTT